AGAAATTCCCTCTATGTAGTACTACTGTACCAGAGACGAGGGCCTCCAGTGATCACCCATTGCCCGTGAGTTGGCGTCGTATCGGCTGGGCCTGGGCACTGGGCACTGGGCAGGCAGGCATCAGGCATGGCGACCCGGGCCCCGGCACATGTTTGCACTGTGCACATGTGCATGTCCGGCTCAGCTGCTTGTGTTGTGTGGTGGACTGGTGGTGCCTCCGCCACTCCGACGGCCCATTGCCGGGCGCCATAAAGAATGCCGTTTCTTTTCCTGCACCGGAATGGGCACATTTCTGGCTCCAGCTTGGGTTACACTTGTTGATGCCGGCTGCTCTGTTCGTTTTCCGAAAAGGAAAAAACAAAGGCCTTGGGACCCTGTTTGCTACTGGGAGTAGAGTACTAGTACTACTATACAGAGCTCACCTGCCCCAAGCACGATGCCTCTCCTCTCGTCTCAAGAAAAGGAAAAAGAAACAAAGGCCGCGTTTAGTTCATCCGCCGATTCGGCGCCGCCCAAAAAGCAGGCGCACTGTAGCTACAGTACCATTTTGTTTTTATTTGGTAATAATTGTCCAATCGTTAACTAATTAGGCTCAAAACGTTCGTCTCGTAGAGTACAACCAAACTGTGTAATTAGTTTTTGATTTCGTCAACATTTAGTACTCCATACATGTACCACAAGTTCGATGTGACGGGGAATCTTCTTTTTGCATAGTGCCAAATTCTGGAAACGGGGGAACTAAACAAGGCCAAAGTCTCAAATTAACCTGCTCTGTCTTTTTGCGCAGGTGTTACGTCGTTCGAGGTAGATTTGGAGAAAAAGAAGGTGGTGGTGACTGGGGACGTCACGCCGTATGAGGTGCTGGAGAGCATCTCCAAGGTGAAGTTCGCAGAGCTGTGGGTGGCAGCCCCCAACTCCAAGCAGCAAGCTGCGGAAAGGTTATAGGTGTAGAGGATCTCATCAACGCTCATGTCCTCGTATTCATCGTGCTACGGTGTAACTCAGGCGGCTGGCAAAGAACTTAGAAGTACTGTAACTAGGAAGGAAGCCATCATTGTATTAAGGAACGTGTTGCTTTGCGTTTTATGTAAAGGGCAATTGGGGAACATGTGCTTGCATAAACATGGTATGTCTCGCTCTGCGCAGACCCAACAGCGCGCTCAATCACCACGCAGGCGAGGAGCCGAGCTGGCGCCGTGCGAAACGGGCACCGAGCACGGACGCATGGCGCATGAGAAAAAGAATGGATGGCAGTCGGCCTGGTTTGGTTTCGGACCTGATGGGGGCGGAAAAGAGTTTTAGTATCGGGTTCTACCACCTCCGTCCGCTTACCCTTTCTGCTTTGATTAGTACTTGTCTCCTTAGGTACCTCGGAACAATCTCAACTCCGTTCTACCACCTCTTTTTTTTAAAATAGTGATAGACGGTCCTCAATTGTTGATATTCACCCTGTACATGGTCCGGTTCAAACCGGACCAACCCATGAAACCAGCCCATACAAAGTCGTTCTGTAATTTCTGCTTGGATTGGTTTGGGTACGGTCCGAAGCCGCAAAACCGTACGTGAGTACGTGAGGTGAGGTCATCTTGGCCAGCGGCGGCGTGCAGACTCGCCGGTGGCGGTGCTGTGGTCTCGACCAAGCTGAAGGTGGAGTCGGCCAGGGCAGCTATAGCCGCAAGTTTCGCGGCGGCGACGGCGACGGCGCGTCCATCTTGGCCTGCAGCGGCGGCGCGTCCATCTTGGCCTGCAACGGCAGCTTCGTCTCGACCAGGCATAAGGTGTGGCAGCCTGGTGCGGCGGCCAACACCGCAGGTTTCGCGATGGCAACGACGTGCGGATCCATCTTAGCCGGCAGCGGCGTCTTGGTGCTTCGTGCCTCGTCGCGATCTTCTGGAGCCCTCAACGGTGGGCACCACGCATGCGTCCGCCGCCGCAGTCTCTGCCGGGGGGAGGGAGCTGATGTGCCGTCCGCGATGGAAGCCCCCTGGAGCTTCAGCCGCCGCGAAGAGCCGCGTCGCCCGCGATCGGAGCTCCCCACACCTCCGCTGTCATCTCTTCAAGTTCAAGGACAGGCAACCCGTTGAAGCCATGGTAACCGTGGGTTACAAACCGTAGAAACCTAGATGCCTTCCGGGTTGATTGGTTTTTGACCAAAAACCGGTTTAACCAGACCATGTACAGCCTGAGTTGATATAGAGTTGCTATCCCCTACCCCCTTGCCATTTTTATCTGCATAGTTGCATGATGTCGTCCATGCATTATTTTAAGTTTAATAACTAAATTTATAGAAAAAGGCTCTAATATTTATGACATCAAATAAGTATCACTAGATACACCAAGAAATATATTTTCATAATCTACTTATTTGGTATCATAAATATTGTTAATCTTTACTTTAAAGTTTGACTTATTGGGATTTTATGAGTTGATTTATTTTGAGACATAGAGAGTAGGAAAGTAGTAGAATGCTTTAGGACAGAAAAGCAAAAAGAAAGGGACAAGGAAACAATTACAGGAAAACGCGAGGAGGAAACAGAAAATGGAAATCTTTGGTCACGTATCACCAAAAGCTAAACTGACGTCCTAAAGACTTCTGTAAGATGCCATGCACATTCAATAATAATTTCAGTAGATGTCTGCAATCTATTTGAAGCTCTCTGGTCGCAACTTGCAACACAAAACATTCAAACTGTACTCATCCCCGTAGCTCATAGTAGTTATCGACCAGGTATAGGTTGTTCAAAGAATCCAAACTACCATGCAACAAACTTTTGCTTCCACTCAGTTATAGTTCTGCCAACCGCTTTGATACAGAACAGCAACGCTCCAAAATTCACAGAACCATAGTGACCATCGACACATTTATTAGATTCTCACCAATTTGTAAGCAAAATTGCCTCATAGTGTGCCTTTTTCAGCAAAAAATATCCCTCTAGGCCTCCACGGCATTAAAAAATCCATCTAAACACCCAGCAATGTTTTATATATTCCATCAATTGCTCACATCTATACTTGCCGGTTTAGAGAATGAAGATACCCAAAATTAATGCCGTGGAATTATGCAGAAGATATCTTGGCATGTAGTGAGTTCATATCATTTATCCCACTTGTGATCCTCCCAACTTTATAAATAGGAAGACTTCGGCGCTTCATGCTCATAAGTCGCCCTCTCCTCTGTGAGTTCTTTCCTAAAGCTCATTCTCATTTCTTGAAATCTCCGATCGAGTCAGCCAGCACCACTACACCAGCAAAAAAATTGCCCAACTCTTCCAATTGCATCTCCCCATTGTACGGTGCTCTGTTTTGTCGTTCTAGGATCTTAAACTATTGTCTTCAACTCTTTCATCATGCCTCAAAAATAGAATTGTCCTTTCGTTGACCTGAAAGTCGTTGCCCACATATTCAGCTACAGCTCTGCGGCAGGGTACGAGCATTGCAGAGTCCATATTGGAATGAGGAGGATGCTCCACACAGCTGAAGAAGGCATATTATCTCTGGTCATTTCCTAGTTCATTTTAATTTATTTCCCTCTGCTGATTCTTCAGAAATGTGCTTGCTGTGCTGCATCTTGAATCTATGGTTTGTGTCTCAAGCCCTGTGGATATGGTGCCGATTAACTAATTGTTTAGAATGTCCGATGAGAACAAAAGACACTAGAGATTAACGAATCTATTGATGTGGATATAAAGGCAGTGTCCTGAGGATATGGATATATCCCTAGACCCTAGAGAATGCGGATTGATAGGTCAGCAGTAGGATGAAGCATCAATGGGTAAGGGATGAGGGGTATTTCGAAATATTGTTGGAATATGGGTTTGATTTATCCATCTGTGTTTCTGAAAGAACTCTGAAGATTACCTTGGGTTTAGAGGCTTTTTTTTTTTTTTTTGCCCTGGTTGTGCCTGAACTTCTCTATCGTTTAAATTCCGAAAGTGCACGCTGATTGATTTCTTCTTTAGTAAGTATATGTAAATTTGTTTAAAGAGGTTATATCCCAGCAGGCTTTACAAACAATTCATTTCTCATCTTTCTTTCACAGAAGGATCAGATCAAGAAAGAAGAACCAAAATGACGTCACAGAAGGACCTCTTTGATGTTTCAGGGCCAACGTATTTGACATACGTGAACTGGTGAGTTGGTTACCTTTTCTTGTTGAACCTCGAATGATCCTTGGCCTTCAAGTTGACAGGCAAAACAACTACTGTAGTGAGCAGCATCAGCTTAAATTTCTACTTCTGCTTGAAAGAATGTGGCCTATCCACCTATGAATGGAGTATTTTTTCACTTTCTCCTAGTTCTAGAATCCTGAATGGACAAGCCCGACGAACGCAGTGAAACTGCAAACTATAAATTTAGATCTATCTCCTATGCTTTTGTCAGACGACAATGTTCTATGTGATATATGCTACTGAGTTCTGTCAAATGAATTGCTTACCTGTATTTGTCGGCGTTGCTCCGGCCAGGAACTGCCCTCACCACCGGCGATCCGTCATGGCAAGCCTTGTGCAGGGCGTGTACGTCCTGGAGCGCGACCGGCAGTGCAACCGGCAGGGTCCCGATGCCCGCGCGCCGGTGTGGTGGAGGTTCTTCCACTTCGAGCTGTGGTAGGTGCTCATCGACGCCGCTGATGTCTCTATCTTCGGCGCCGTCTACGAGTTCCGGCCGCCGCTCCACCTCCTCGACCCGACGGCCGCCGCCAGCGCCCCGCACTACGTCGTCGCCTTCCGCGGGACCATCACCAAGAAGGGCTTGGCGAAGCGGGACCTGGAGCTGGACCTCCAGCTGGTCCGCAACGGGCTGGAAGGCAAGTCCCGGTTCCGCGCCGCCATGCAGGCGATCCACGACACCCTGGCGGCGGCGGCGGCAGCCGGACAGCACGGCCGCGTCTGGCTGGCGGGCCACTCGCTGGGCTCGGCCATCGCGACGCTGGGCGACAAGACCCTGGTCAGGGCCCGTGGAGCGGATCGGGGACCGGCGGCTGAGGCAGGTGATTGGCGGCGATGGCGGCTTGGATGCCGAACCTGTTCGTGAACCCGGCGGACCCGATCAGCGCCGAGGACGTGGGGTACTTCGACCACCGCAGGAAGATGGAGGCCATCGGGGCCGTCGCCGTGGGGAGGCTGGCGACGAGGAACTCGGTGAAGGACCTGCTGCTGGGCATTGGGAAGGGTGGAAGCGGCTGCGAGCCGCTGCACCTGTTCCCGTCTGCCGTGCTGACGGTGAACCGCGGGCCGTCGCCGGACTTCAAGACGGCGCACGGGATCCACCAGTGGTGGCGGCCCGACCTGTCACTGGAGTGCACCGCGCATTACTACACTTGAACCTTGATCATGCGTGGTGTTGGAGATCCAAGACACAAGAGTGTATTGGAACTGCGATGTTTTCATCAGTTTATTAACTGGGGTTGCTCCGTCCTCGTCTGAATTTTGATTGAAGCGACAAAGCTAGAAGTGTAACTTTCCAAACATCGTCCCCTTCGTCCGTTGAAGACTTGGAGTTGTGATGATGATTTTATATAACTTTAAAAAAAATCAAATTTTGCATGCGAGGAAGCATGGATAATGGCTGTTTTCGACTACAAGGTGTTGGGTGCGTATGTAAGACAGCTCTCCTTTGTCGCTCGCGCAACAGCCTTTGTCGTTCTCTGCGTTGTGCGCGACGATGCCCTGGTCCCTGTCACGCATCGGCGAACTGACGCACAAGTCTCGGAGGACCCCTACGCCCACGAGCTTCCGATCCAAAGAGAAACACGCGCTTGTTTGGGTCCGAACTGTGATAGGTACAAAACCGCGTGCGCTAGCCAGCTTCGAAAATCCCGACACCAACAGGGCCGTCGTCTCGTGATCGGCAGTCCGGCTCGTAAACGAAATCTCCCGCCAACAGCGGCCGAGTCCGAAGGCGCGACGGGCAGGTTCCAGGGCCATAAAACGCAAGCCCCCGGCGCGGCGAGGGGCACAAACACACGACAAATCCAGCACACGCTGCACGCATCGGAGATCATCGCGAGGGAGCTAGCTAGTTGGGCGACGCACTGCACAGCATGGGGCAGCGGCTCAATCCGGTGACGTGGCTCCTCGCCGTCGTGGTCCTAGCCCTTTTCGCCACGCCGGGCGCCGCCGCGCAGGTCAAGACGACCGACACGCGCTGGAGCTTCCACCTCCCGTTACCCAGCGGCGTCAGCGGCGCCGAGAACCTCGCGTTCGACGGCAAGGGCGAGGGGCCCTACGCGGGCGTCTCGGATGGCCGCGTCCTCAAGTGGGGCGGCAGCGCCGTCGGCTGGACCACGTTCGCGCACAGCGCGAACTACAGGAAGATACCCCTGTGCACGGCGGGCGTAGTGCCGTCGGCGGAGACCGAGAGCATGTGCGGCCGGCCCCTGGGTCTCCAGTTCAACTTCAAGACCGGCGACCTCTACATCGCCGACGCCTACTTGGGGCTCATGAAGGTCGGACCGGGCGGTGGCGAGGCCGAGGTGCTCGCGACCGGCGCGGACGGCGTCCCGTTCAACTTCGTCAACGGCCTCGACGTCAACCAGGATACCGGCGACATCTACTTCACGGACTCGAGCACGACGTACCCGAGGAGGTTTAACACGGAGATCATGATGAACGCGGACGCGACGGGGCGGCTGCTCAAGTACGACGCGCAGACGAAGAGCGTCACCGTGCTCAAGGCCGGCCTGCCGTACCCGAACGGCGTGGCCGTCAGCCGCGACGGCGCGCAGGTCGTGGTCGCGCACACCGTGCCGTGCCAGGCGTTCAGGTACTTCCTCCGCGGCGCCAGGGCGGGACAGTACGAGCTGCTGGCGGACCTGCCGGGCTACCCGGACAACGTGAGGCGGGACGGCAAGGGTGGCTACTGGGTGGCGCTGAACCAGGAGAAGCAGCGGCTGGACGCGACTCCGGCGACGGCTCCCGCGAAGCACTTGGTCGGGGTCCGCCTGGACGCCCACGGGGTGGAGGTCGAGGAACTTACGGCTGCTAAGGGTGTCACACTGAGCGACGTGGCGGAGAGGAGGGGGAAGCTGTGGCTGGGCTCCGTGGAACTCGAGTACGTCGGTCTCGTTGCTTGAGCGGCTGTGTGCCAAACTGCCAAGTGCCAACGTTAGCTATGGTCATGTTAGCAGGATTAGGAATTAGGAATTGGATTAGCAAGTACTAGCTGTTAGTTTCACGTCGTCCCATGTGGATTTAAACAGATCGTTATGTATTCTTTTTATTTATATATTGTGTTTATTATATTTTTATTATATAGACCAATTGACACGTACTGTTCTTATATTAATTGCATCAAAATTTCTAGGCTCTAGAACTTTTTTTTACCACTTGTTGTATTAATAGATACAGTAGATGAGTTTCCACCGTGACGCGAAAAATGTGAAGCTTTTTTTGTCAAAAAAAAAGGAGTGTGAAAGGTGAAAAAACTTGCACTGCTGTATTATGAGGCAACCCAGCAAAAGATCATTGGACTCTACCGGATTTTATAACATGTAATTAATCACAACATCAGCTAATACCTAAACTTCTCCATGCGGCAAATTGGCTCCACTGGCTCCCCAAGTAGCAATCCCTTTTGAACCAGTCCTCGTTTCTGATCATTAAACTGGACATCCGTTTGGCGTGAAACCGATCCTTCCCCTCTCCACATCAAACACAACACCGAAGCCTTGTTGCTGGACGTTGCCGAGCACGTTGAGGCCATCGTCCGCCGCCTGGAGCCCTAGGCAGAAATACGTCCGGCGATCCCCGCCCTGCACGGGGATGAGGTAGTTCGCCTGAGGCAGTGCCATGTCCGCACCACCGGCGAAGTGCAGCACGATGCTGGGGACACGAACAGCAGTTGCGGGCCCACCGTTCCCTCGGAGGTCGTAGCACGTGTCGAACACTGAGAATTTGGTGGCCAGCTTCCGCATCCCGGCCGCTGCCGCGTGCGAGTCGAAGGCGTCGCGCACCGCCGCGTACGCGTCCCGGTCGAACCGTGAGATGGCCGTGCCAGAGTCTACCACGATGCCCCCACGCCCGGTCGCCGGGTTCAGCGCGAGGCTGGCGCTGGAGAATCCGGTCACGCGCTCGCCGCCGACGCTGAAGCCGACCATGTCCACGTAGTAGAGGCTGGGCCGCCGCGGGTTCGTCCGCAGCGGGGTGAACGCCGTGGACGGTAGCTCCGGCGTGCGGCCGAACACGAGGTACGAGGAGCTGTTCTGCGCGCGGGACAAGCGGTCGCCGAAGCAGTACGAGAAGACGTGCCCGTAGGCCGGCGCCAGCTGCGTCGGGAAGGACAGCTGGCCCCGCCCGACGCCGAGCAGCCCGGCCGCCGACTCCAGCAGCCCCTCGTTGTCGTGGCCGCATCCGAGCGTGACGTTGTGGACGTGCGTGTCGTTGGGGAACACGAGCCTGTCGGTGGCAAGGTCGCCGCTGGACGCGGAGCCGTCGCCGTACACCACCATGTACACGCAGCCTCCGGTGCGGGCGTCGCAGCCGGGGTAGCGGAGGACGTCGCGGCACCGCGGCGAGGCGCAGGGGATCCGCCTGTGCGTGCTGGAGCTCCGCGGGTCGTAGAGCGGGGTCACCTGGCGGTAGCAGTGGCGGCAGGGCGCGCACTGGAGCCAGATGAGGTCGCTGCCAGTGTCGATGACGACGAGCGCGCGCGTGGGCGGGTCGCCGACTTTGATGACCGCGAAGTACTCGCCGCTGTCGAAGGGGACACCCGACATGACGGGGGAGCGGAGCCGGTCGCCGTCGTCGTCGGTGATCGAGTGGAAGGACGCCAGCTGTGCGGTGTAGGGAGCGGCATGGCGGCAGCGGCGGAGGCTGCCCGGTGGGGCGCCGCGCCGGGGTGGGAAGACTGCGTCTCGGTGGACGACGGGGATGTGCAGCGTTTTTGGTCGTTGGGTGGCGTCAGCGGTGAAGGTGACGAGGACGACGAGGAGGAATCGTAGCGGAAGAGCGTCGGGCGACGCCATGAGGGCACGATGGCGCGAAGTGGTAGACCGGTGAAGAGGCGGGCCGGACGTGCTAAAGATGGCCGATGGAAATTCTTCGTGTGCAGCATGCGTTTAAAATCTTTTCCAATTATACACTACGCCTGGTGTAAGTTTTCAGTTATGATATGAATGCTACTGGCTTTGTTTTAATTTGAAACACCCCTTGTGTTTATTAAACTTCAGTTTCCTTTAAAACCGTACCCTCCGCTATCATCAAAACAAGATAGTGCTCTGCTCTGGCATCTCAGCAATTGCAGACGACAGAGTTTGGTCCGAAGATGGTGCTTCTCTGCTCTGGCATCTCAGCAATTGCAGTCCGGCCAGCAAAGCATACGTCGGATAATCAGATGGTGTTTATCTCTCAACGCGGAGGCATCGCCGAGCTCACGATTTGTTCACCAAAGTTGCAAGTGCCAGTGGACCCCCCCCCCCCAACCCGAAAACGGCCCCGGGAAATATTCCAGAAAAGGGATCCCGCTTGGACGACTGACGGAACACGGGCGCAAAGGCATGCCCGAGAACGGCCCGGGAAATATTCCAGAAAAGGGCAGGATTATACAGTAAATTATTAGCTCATCATTTCTCGTCCACCGAGATTAATATAGTTCCACAGCATCAAGATTCAATAGTACTTCCAAGTAACAAAACGTTGTATCACTAACACCGATTCCATAATATTCGTCGGCAAATGTGGATTAATGTGGTTGCTAATGCTAGAAGTAAGGCAGGATTCAGAGGTTTCAGACATGGTAGCCCGTGACAGTAAATCCTCTACCGACGATCTCACCAAGGCAGAACCATGCATACAACTCGATGCCAAACATCGCTGCAACACCAGCATCCTCAACCTTCAGATTGCTTCTGTTCTTCCACAGGAGCTTCACACCATCAAGCTCTTTCCAGAATGACTCGTAACGACCAGGAAGGCTGCAAGAAACACATATCCAGTGTTAAAATTTCTGACGAGAGCACAATATACAAAATGCATAATTCTCAAATCGCGTGTTGTGAAAAAGTGTCTAAAATGCAGCAGTACAGCTTCATTTATTATTTAGGACTTGTTTAGTTCCTCCCCTAAAGATTACTCCCTATCCCATCGAATGTTTGACACAGGCATGGAGTATTAAATATAGATTAAAAAAATAACTAATTGCACAGTTTGCGACTAATTTACGAGATGAATCTTTTAAGCCTAATTAGTCCTTCGACAATGTGGTGCCACAGTAACAAATGTGCTAATGATGGATTAATTAAGCTTAATAAATTCGTCAAGCGGATTACTAACAGATTCTGTAATTTGTTTTTTTTATTAGTATCCGAACACCCCATACGACACCCTCATGTGACACCTGATGTGACACCCCAAAACTTTACACCCTGGATTTAAGCAAGACCTTACTTCTGTTTGTGAAACAAGCACTGGCTACATAGCCATTGAACATAAATTCAGGATATATGCATCCAGAAATCAATATTGCCAGGTTCCCCAATAGTTCATGTAGGTGAATTCCACTGACTGTCGTGACGTCCACCATCTTGGTCTAATACTTAGAATTTAACTAGCAAGTGAGCCTTCTAATATATTTCAAACATATTGTAGGCCTCCAACATTAGATCAAAACATATCGTTGATATCAAACTCAGCATGGGTGGCTAGCAGACAACAATAAATAATTTGACTGGAGTTATACATGAAACTTCAGTTGACATAAAAAGTTTAACAGGCAGGCAATTTATACAGCAGTAATTTCCTATGCAGACAAAACATCATGCATGTTACCCTAAATAAACAAGCAAGCACACCAAATCTTCTATTAGTTCAGCAGATGTAATTCAAACAAGAGGCAATAAACATGATTGATCAATCTCAATGTGGTGTAAGAGACATGATTCATCCAAACGTGTTATGCATTTCTTTTCTGATAACCAAATGCAAACTGCGTGCCACAAAAACTAGGACTCACACTAGTTAATAGAAGACAAGAAATCCTAAATTTTTTTGTGCCACTAAATTAGCATGTCACAATGATTAGGTGGGCTCTGGAATTGTTAATGTCTATTTGTGCGATGGAACCAATCAATTGCGTCTAACTCTAACCCAACATGGCCCAATCATATAATTTCATCAGATAAGAATACTTCAAGGCATCTAATAAGCACTTTGGGATCTTATATCAATACAAAAACCTAAACGATACTTGGTCGATCCATATAGGTTTTGCTGCAATTCTCAAGAGGCCTCCCATAAGCCCATATAACAGTGTTGAATCCCAATTTAATCATTAAACCTCCCATACGATCTAGAAGCTAACAAATTAACAATGCACACCACAAAAACCCTACAAAGGTGTTTCCTCCAACAGTTCGATACAATTCTAGTTACTAGATAATAATTTCAGTAATTTACACAGATTCTGTAGCACATACATTGACTCCAAGTTGCGTTGACACAAGCATCATGAACAACCTAGTAGATGCCCAGTGTTGCAGCGAAAGAGACAGAATTGATGAACCTCAATGTGTTGGAAGAGACATGATTCATCCAAACACAGATATCCAAAGCCTTCCTCTATGCTTACTGTGATAGCAATATGCAAATTGTGACATCACAGAATAGAATCCACAGTAGTTAAACCACCTGAATCATAAAGTTTTGGGTGCTACAGTGCTACTAAATCAGCACATCCCAAGTATTAGGCGGATTGTGAAATTCCTGATTGTCTACCCAGCACTACATAATTAAATAAGGTCATCAAACGATAATGGTGCTTGCATTGGTCAGACCCAACCCATACATGCGCCCTCGAACCTCCTCAGGAGGCCATAGATAAGCTACCATATCTAAAGGAGCAACTTCAGAATCCATCACGACGGCCAAATCTCCCATCTAAAAGCTGAAAAATTGATATACTGAGATTCACATGAGTACGCGCCAGAACTCTACAAAGCGTATCCTCCTCCTCTGTCCTATCAGAGTTGGTGGCGCGGGGACGAGAAGGAGCACTGACCTGGCGAGTCGGGTGTAGAAGAGCTGCTTGGAGAGCTCCTGGCACTTCTCGATGGTGGGAGGGTCGACGACGTAGTGCTTGTTCTTCTCCATGAGCGTCTTGTGGTACGAGCATCCGTGTTTGGCCACCATCCTCGTGGCCTCGCACGCCTTGGACTGCAGTTGCGCCAGCTTCGACCCCAGCGCCGCCATGGAATGTGCCGCCGCCGCTGCCAAAGGTTCGGAACGGGGCAATGCGGGTCAGAAGAAGAAAATTACAAAGGGGAAGAGAAAATTCCGGTGGTCGGGAAGCGCTTTGAGTCTACCTTCTGATTGTGGCCGGTGGTTTGAACGAAGGGGATGCAGAGATCCGAGGTGAGGGCACGAGTTGGAACTTGGGAGAGGCGGCTGCGAGGGGGCTGGAGGGGTTTTAGAGCCTGCTCCAGAGCCGAACTCCACCCAGAGTCAGGTGGAGCTAGCCAAACACCCCAACTCCAAAAAAATATTGAAGCAGCCCAACTCCATGGAGTTTTGGAGCCCCAGTACAAATTTGTGGAGCACCTCTTCTCCTGCTCCGAAACCGGCCAAAATAGAGGTAGACATAGAGTTAGGGTGAAATTACCCGCAATTGCCACTGGTTACACAAGTGAATCGTTATTTTTTCTATTCTCCCTGGCCCGACCCCTTCCCCTTCACGCGAGCGCCCACTCCTCCGACCCGACGCCCTTCACGCGAGCGCCCACTCGCCGCCGTCCGCTTCCAGGGGACGAGCAGGCCGGGCGGCGCCGCCCCCCTCTCTCCGCCTCTCTCCCCCGCCCCCTCCCTCCGCCTCTCTTCCCCGCCCCCTCCCTCCATCCCCCACCGACGGCCGGCGAAGGAGAAGACAAGGAGAAGGTCATCCTCAACCCTAACCCTAGAGAAGGGGAAGAAGGGCGCCTCTCCACCCACCGGCGGCCGGCGAAGGAGAACAAGGGCGACGTGAAGGCACCCCCGACGCTCCCCCAACCTTGCAAGGTATCCCCATCCCCATCCCCATCTCTATGCTGTGTGTTTTTTTAAGAACAGTGAGTTCATGGTCTGAATTGTTGTGTTGAGTTGGTATAGATGCCGGAAATTGTTTGGAACGTAGAGAACCTTCGGATCCTTTGTGGTTTGATGGCTGAGCAAGTCGAGAAAGGAAACCGGCCAAATACTTTCTTGAATTCAGTGGGCTATGCTGAGGTTGAGAAAGAATTCAAAGATCGGACGGGTATTGTATTGACCAAGAACCAAATCAAGAACAAGTGGGACAAACTGAAGGAAGATTTCAAGGCATGGAAAAAGCTAACAATGGGGCAAACATGAATTGGTTGGAATAATGGCACTATTAATATGGATGATGAATGGTGAAACAAAGCTAAAGCTGTAAGTGCTTGTTTTATGAATATCACCTACTTCTTAAATTAATTGATGGTGGAAGAAAGCTAGAGCTATAAGTATTTGTTCTAATATGTGTTGCTATTTTGCATATTTTCAGTCTATTCTAGGCTGTGGGAAATTTAAGAAGCAGCCACTTCAAAATAAAGAAGAGTTAGCAATTTGTTTCCAAGGCATTGTGAATGTTGGTTCTGATCATTGGAACCCTTGTGGTAACACTCCTACAGTGGCTGTGGATGATGTTGTTCGTGTGGATGATGAAGTTGCTGCACTAGGTGCGACACAAGAAGAGGATTTAGATGAGATTACCCCTTCCCCTAGTAGTGGCAAGAGACCGGCAAGGCTTTTCCATGTTACAGGCAAGAAGCCTAAGACAGCCAATGCAATCCTCATTCAAGAAGCATGCACTAGTATGGCTAGTTCAGCAAGTGCATATGCTGCCAAGAAAGAAGGAAAATTCACTATTGAAGAAGTGATGAAGGCAGTAATTGAATGTGATGCTGCGTATGGATCCGATGAACACTACATTGCCACTTCATTGTTTGTCAAGAGGGAGCAAAGGGAGATGTTCATGACCTTACCTACTAATGAAATTAAGAAGAATTGGCTCACTAGAAAATATAATGACAGGCTTGCAAAGTAGGAGTGCTTGTCTCATGTATCCTTTGCTACCTTGATGTGTCGTTTGCTACATTGATTTGTTTTAAGGCTTGTAATAATTTAGATTATTCCATGTTTGACAATTATTTTTAAGGCTTGTCGTATGAATGAACTCAGATTGTATTATTCCATTTTTTTCCTTGTTTCACAATTATTTGTCCATCAGCTTGTCACATGGTTGACCTTATTTTTTCTGACAGTAGTGATGATGACGATCAATTTTTTTCTCTCATTCAAGGTGGTGCAAATCTTGCTAAGGCTTATGTGAGCCTTTATATGGATAAGGCACCACCAAGGATATCACAGCTAAGTGGAATGGGATGGGTGACTGAGACCCTAAACACTCCAGGAGAATGCCACAGAATGTTTCGGATGAATGAGCGCATCTTTCTGGATCTTCATGATAAGTTGACTACTCGTTATGGTTTGCAACCATCCAAGTTCATAAATACTTATGAATCACTAGCAATATTTTTATTTATATGTGGTGGCTGTGAGACAAATAGAAAAGGGCAAAATAGGTTCAAGCATTCTGGTGAAACCATTAGTAAGAAATTTCATGAAGTTCTTGATTGTGTGATTGCAATGGCTAAGGATTACATAAGACCAATTGATCCCAATTTTCGGTCAGTTCACAAGAGAATTAGAAATGACAAAAGAGCATGGCCATATTTCAAGGATTGCATAGGAGCACTAGATGGAACTCATATTCTAGTGTCTCTTTCACCTGAGGAACAAGTTAGATACATTGGAAAGTCAAGAGTTCCTACTCAAAATGTGCTTGCCATTTGTGATTTTGATATGCGTTTCACATATGTGTCTGCGGGGCAACCGGGGGCTTATCATGACACAAGTGTACTGTACCATGCAATGGAAGTGGATAAGCAGGCCTTCCCGCATCCTCCTGGAGGTAAAAAAATAACTTACATTTTGCATGGTCAATTATAACTCGAATTCTTATGCTATTTTTTCATATCCACAGACAAGTACTATGCTGTGGACGCGGGCTATCCTAATCGTCCAAGTTACTTATCTCCATACAAGGGTGAAAGATATCATTTACCAGAGTGGCATCGAGGTATGGAACCAAATACCCCAACAGAAAAGTTCAATCGGATTCATTCATCTGTTCGTAATGTGATTGAACGTTCATTTGGACTATTAAAGATGAAATGGCCAATTCTTTATAAGATGCCCCATTTTTCCATGCTAACACAAAAGAAGGTTGTAGCTGCATGCATGGTCGTCCACAATTTCATACGTGAGCATGCTAGTGGGGATGTGGACTTTGCTAGATTTGATCGAGATCCGAACTTTGTGCCAACTATCCCGGAAAGGTACAACAAGTATGCTGTGTCTCGCCATGCCTCTGATACGTCTACTAATGAAGCAAGCTTTGTGACCATGGACACATTTCGTGATAGTTTGGCTACATCCATCGCATTAGCTTGGAATTAATGTAATCATGTTCTTAAACTTTGTATCTTGGATTATTTGGTTGGACGTGTATGTCGGATTATTTGATTTCATGGATTATTCGGATTATCTAAGAAATATTTGGATTATCTAAGAATTATTATTTCAGATTATCTTATATGTTGTTGGAATTTATTTTATACCTTGATTTGTGCTAGTAGTAGTACGAGTACGAGATGTCCTTGTGCAAACGAATAAGCTGCTGGGATCAGTACGTTGTGCAAGGGCAAAATGGGCAAACAACACTGTCTAAACACAACTCTAGAGCTCAGAGTACCAATTTAGCCAAACACCCCTTCCAGACAGCTCCAACTCCACTCAGAGCTAGCTCCAGCTGGATTTCTGGAGTGGAGCTGCTCTGTGTGGAGTTGGAGCCATAAGGCTTGTTAGCGGCGTTCTTGTCTTGGAGGGGAGGTTAGGGCCTGCTTTGTCCAAGTGGACTCCATTATGCATACGATTTTTCATTGGTAAAATCAAACCCCTGCAATAGCACAGTTACCATACAGAGATTAGCGAGCTCCGAGAGTTGTCAGACTCGAGAGAAGTAGCGTCCCAATGTCATATATGGTTTGTTTAAATTTTCTTCAGATTGAACTCAGTATTTTTTTAGAATAAAGATGAAGCAATTTTGATTAACGACTCGTTGAGCTTAGTTTGAAATTAATAAGTCTCAAATAATTCATGAAAACTATGATGATAATATTATGTCAATTTCAAAAATAGCTCGAAAGAAGTGCACTTGACACATTATCTGCCCCTACATGTAGCCCCGGCACCACATGTTGTTTCAAGTTCAAGTATACACCTTTAAGTTTCTGCAGTGCTTACGAAAACAATACAATTTCCCAATACAGGGCTTGCAGATCGGAAGAAAAATAAGAAGTACCATTCATTAGTTTGGCATCTGATAATAAAAGACAAGACGTGTCAGCCTTTATCTCAACCCAATGGCAGGGGGAAGATACCCATTAACAGACAAAGATATGTGTATTGCTGCATTACAAAGGAAGCTTAAAAACAGATTCACAGCAGGTATGGTGTCCATTACAGGCGAACTGACTTCAAGTACACGAGCTCTATGCTCATCAAACAACCTGGACATACATCCTTCCAGGCACAACAAATTTGCAAATCCGAGCAAAGTCTGTCCTTATTTCAGATGAGACAAGTAGGTCAAATGCAAAGAAATATAGGGAGCGAGCAACAGCAGAATCATGCTTCACTTGGTCCACCAGTGAAGGAAATCCTTGCGCCTGTTGATTTTCTTTTGGAGCTGAAGAACACCGTACAGTAGTGCCTCAGCAGTTGGTGGGCACCCAGGGACGTAGATGTCCACAGGGACTATACGGTCACATCCACGTACAACAGAGTAGGAGTAATGGTAGTAACCACCACCGTTGGCACAGCTGCCCATTGAAATAACCCATCTAGGCTCAGGCATTTGGTCATAAACCCTGCAGATAACATATGAAGTTCATGTTACACTAAAAAGTATGAGCTGATAATAAAAATAAATACCTTCTCTAAAACACTTCCCGATTATGATAGGACTACACCAAGGGTCAGCTTTGAGCCCTTATCTGTTTGCGTTAGTGATGGATGAGGTCACAAGGGACATACAAGGGGACATCCCGTGTATGCTTTTCGCGGACGATGTAGTGCTAGTTGATGAAAGCCGGACAGGAGTGAATCAGAAACTGGAGTTATGGCATGAGACTTTGGAGTCCAAAGGTTTTAGACTCAGTAGAACTAAAACTGAGTATATGAGATGTGACTTCAGCACTACTACTCGGGAGGAGAAAGATATTAGTTTGGAAGGTCAAGTAGTGCCTAGGAAGGATACCTTTCGATATTTAGGATTAATGCTACAGAGAGACGGGAATATTGATGAAGATGTTAGCCATAGAATCAAAGCAGGGTGGATAAAGTGGCGCTCTGGTGTCCTATGTGACAAAAGGGTACCACAGAAGCTAAAAGGCAAGTTTTATAGGAAGGCGATTAGACTTGCTATGTTGTATGGTGCAGAATGTTGGCCTACGAAAAAACGACATGTTCAACAGAAAAGTGTCGCGGAAATGCGTATGTTGCGTTGGATTTGGGGTCATACAAGAAGGGATCGAGTTCGGAACGATGATATACGTGATAGATTAGGGGTAGCACCAATTGAAGAAAAGCTTGTCCAACACCGGTTGAGATGGTTTGAACATGTCCAACGGAGACCTCCAGAGACACCGGTGCGTAGTGGAATCCTAAGCCAAGATAGTAACGTGAAGAGAGGCAGAGGAAGACCGAAGTTGACTTGGGTAGAGGCAATAAAAGGAGACTTGAAAGAATGGAATATATCCAAAGACTTAGCCTTAAATAGGAGTGCTTGGAAAACAGCTATTCACGTGCCTGAACCTTGATTGCTTCTGCTGGGTTTCAACTCTAGCCTAGCCGAACTTGTTTGGGACTTAAAGGCTTTGTTGTTGATGTTGTTGTTGTTGCTGCTGCAACGTCTACTGTTAAAATATGTTCATATACACGTCTCAGCAGAAGAAAACAAAAAATAGGAAATATTCGAAGCACCTAGAGCTTACAGCAAGTCACTATAGTGTACAGTCCAGGTTTGTAATTTAAAGATACCAAGCAATCACCCTCTTTCCTCCATTCCTATAGTTTTGACATTTTTATGTTCCAGCAAAATGGATAAGTAAATCAGCATCAGCCAGTCAATGCATGCTTACTTGTTTTCCAAATATTGTCAGTGTCAGCAAATACAGAGCATGTCTTTTCCAACATCTTTTACTAAAGAATTTATATCAATGTATTATTACAACCTCCAGTCAAATAAAGATGCCGCGCTGACCAAAATCAAATGTTATTTGAAAACTGGCCCCAATACCTTTATCTGACCAGAGGGTGTATCAAGTTTGTTAAAAGAGTGGTGACATAAAAGTACTTTGACTCTTTGAGTGGAAACTTTAGATGTTACTTAGACATGGTCATAAATACTTATGCAGAGAATTGACTTTGAATGCAATGGTGAGCTGGCATCCAAAATCGATGCTGGGTTTGCTAGAGCACTCCTGTCCTGTGTTTCAGCATCTACACTTCTACAGTCAGTTAGTACTAACAAGCATTGCAAAATCAGTACAAGATTAGAATTTAATTCTCCAAAACTTCTTAGTGCAGAAAACAATACAAAAGACACAGAAATGAAGTTTATGTTTGAACTTCAACAATTTGCCATTGACCTGCTAAAGAGAAGGAACACAACTTCATAACCACACACCTTAGAAACGCGCAACTCAAACAACAGGTATCATATGCAAATTTGTACCAAGAAATTTTCAATGTTGATTGGTATGATATGCAAACTAAGGTCATATACTATAACAATCTCCAGAAGACAATACGTAAACAATTAAAATGGTAGGTTTGGATTAACGGCAACTCAGTGTTCAGTAAAATACATATACAAATAGCCTCACAAGCCTATCATATCATGTCCGCGTGGAGCAAACTGATCGGTTACAATTATGTTCAAAACTTGTTGATACGTTATAATCATTTTTTAGAAGACTTGCAGATAATAAAGTCTATGTGGCTGTTTGTCAAATCAAAGTACCATATCATACTTCAACAATGCTATCAACATGGTGTTCTTGGGAACAAACTGAAAATTCTCCATGTAATTATCTGGGCACAACATGGTTTCTACAGACGCTATGGCCCATCATTAGTCAAAATCTAATTCTATCGATCATATTTCTTCGGTGCAAAGATATAAACCTATTGCTTAATACTCCCTACCCAGATCCTTTATGAGATCTAAGGACACCCAAAATCGAAATCTTAAATCGGCCTAATCAATCGAGATGAGGAATGTGTTACTGACTTGCGAAGGGCTGGAGCCATCTTGTTGGTGAGCGTGCCCGCGACGATCATACAATCGGACTGGCGCGGCGAGGGACGGAAGATGACGCCGAACCGGTCGAAGTCGTAGCGGGACGCACCGGCGTGCATCATCTCCACCGCGCAGCAGGCGAGCCCGAAGGTCATGGGCCAGATCGAGCCCTTACGCGCCCAGTTCATAAGGTCGTCAACCTTGGAGACCACGAACTCGGCCGTCTTCGACATCGCCGGCGGGGGCGCGCCCCCGTATGGCGCTGGGGACGTCGGGGAGGCGCCAGCAGCAGCGGCGGCGGAGTACGCCCGCGGGGTGGAGAGGAGGGCCAGCCGCGCGGTGCGCGGGAGCAACGCCATGGTCGGTCGCTAGGGTTTCCTCACCTCGTGGAGGAGGGGGTGGAAGCGTAGGCCGATTTGGGGATGGCTTCTCGGAGCTCTGGGGGCACAGGTCGGGAGGTGGCTGTCTCGTGCGTGGCCGTGGGGAGGTCGGGGCGCGTGTTGTGTGCGCGCCGTGAGTGTGACTGGCCCAAAGGACCAATAAGTATGTGGTCTTCTATGTAACGGCCCAGGCCCAACTCTACAATAATTTCTTAGCCCCGTCCAAGGCTAATTCACTAGTGGGCCTAAATTTCCTTTTTGTTGCAGAGGAAGCCCTATTTTTTTTTTTTTGGAAAAAAGTTCATTTGATCCCCTCAACTATTGCGTAAGTCTCTCTAAAAAAAAACTATTGCGCAAGTTCAATTTAACCCCCTCAATTAGAAAACTAGTTTTTTAGACTCATCCAACTATTGAAACCGTTCGATTTACCTCCCTGAGCAAGCATTGAAAGTGGTTTTAGCTGGTGTGGCACCACGTTAGCCATGTGGGAGGTAAATCGGGCTTTCACAATAGTTCAAGGAGTACAATTAGACTTTTATAAAAATTGTTGAAATATTTTTTTCAAAATAGATTTCAAATATTTTTCTAGAATAAATACACATTTAAAATTACTGAAATCAGATTTATAATTAGAAATTTTGTTTTAACTCAGAAGAAATGTGAAACCAGTTTCATATTTTTTTCTAAAATCATGATCCACATTTCTGTTCCTTACTTATAATTATTTGAATCTAATACGACCTCCTAAAATTTTAAATTGCGCCAAATATGAACTAGAGGACACAGACCAAGATAAACCTTGCAGACCATCATAGCATGGGTCGTCGTGCAACTCTCCCTGCAAACTTAAAAGGTTTCCTCGTTAGTAGTGTCTTGGTTAACCATCGACACATGCACGAAAAAAATCTAAATAAAACATATAATTCAAACTCTGATGGCATATTTACAACATGGACCATGTGGTTTAACTTTATAGTGGCGTTGTCTTCTTCAGGGGACATCGTAACAATGTCATGTGTAGACTCATTGGACCATCAATGGTAGTTAGTATGCGACTTCTTAGCCTCCCGAACCAACTTCTACATCTTGACCGACCACATCCGGATGGACACAACTGCTTCTTTATTCATCACCGCCATTATAGATTTGCACATGCACCGATAGCACGATTCAACACGAAGACAATTTGGCTAGGCTCAAGACGTTGGAATTCATGTGTTTCCTAAAACATGCCATGGTGCCTAGCTCAGAAAATATAGAGCATGATTTTAGAAAATCATGAAACTTGTTTCATATTTTTCTAAGTCGAAACAAAATTTCTATGATTTTTCTAATATTAAATCAAATTTTAGTATTTTTAAATCATTTTTATTCTAGGAGAGCATTTGGATAACTTTTTTAAAAAATATTTCTACAAAGTTTTTAGGAGCATGATTTTAGGAAAAATATGAAACAAATTTTGTAAGAATCTTCTAATATTAAATCACATTCTAGTATTTTTAAATGCATATTTATTCTAGAAAAATATTTGGATATTTTTTAAAAAAATATTTCTATAAATATTTTGTACAATCTAATTGACCTCTCCCTGAACTATCGTGAAAGTCCAATTTACTTCCCTCGTGGCTGACTTAGCTCCATATAGGAGGGTCGATGTGGCGCCATGTCAGTCAAACCACTCTCAAACCGCTCGGGGTGGTAAATCGGGCGGTTTCACTAGTTGGAGGAGTCTAAAAAATGTCTTTTTAATTGTGGAGGTAAATTAAATTGATGCAATAATTGAGGAAGGTCAAATATACTTTTTCCATCTTTTTTTACAAAATGAACAATACTACAACTCACAGTATCCCATCCGTCCCCAAAACAAAAAAAAATGTCCCTAAAAAAGTGTCCTTCATCTGGTAAAGTCAAACTATTTTAACTGGACTAAACTTATAAAAGATAGTATCGAGTATCAACTGTTATAATTCTAAATAGGCATATTATGAAGATATCTATATTATTTATATACAGGGGTAGATTTAGCATACAAATCAATTGATGTCATCTCTGTTGCAGCACGCATATGAACAACAATTTTGCATGGAAAATCACATAAAATCATTGTTGTCTTAACATGCATGGCTAGCTATGCCTATGTCTATATAAAGAGATGAGTTGCCACCAGCGAGATTGCAATCTAGCATAGAAAGCAAGCATGGACGAGGAGAACAGAAGATGGAGAGAAGGGGAAAAAATGGAGAACAGAAGGGCATAGTGTGGCTCCTATACTCCAATTTAGGAAGGGCAGTGCGACAAGAGGCCTTAGGCGGGATGTCGCAACAAGCAAGGGGTTGGCGCGACTAAGTGGGTCCCACCAAATCGCCACGCTGGTCCGAGTCACTAGCGTGACAGGTTCTATCAGGCAGTCTTATATATCACATCGGCCACACTTGTGTGACCAAACATTTGGTTATTATTAAAGTAGTGATTAAAAACATTGAAAATAAAAAAACATACAGGTCTTGGTTGCCCTCAGTCAACATCTACACTATCTCAATTTCAAAATAACCACGTATTTCGGTTCTCAAGGAGTTCTTTTTTTTTGAATTCAACTAATTTTATAGAAAATACTCCTTCTGTCGGGTTCATAAACCCGGGGTCCCTCATGGACCGGCTTCCCAATAAAGGCTCGGCCCAGCAGACAACGTTGCGAACGACGTGCAATTCCTGGGTCGGCCCAAAAACCTAACAAAGGGCTATCCAGTCAACGACCGGAAGGCCTAGCCAAAGGAGGAACGGCTGAAAGGTCCTAATGGCTAGAGGGGGGTGAATAGCCTAATAAAATTTCTTCAACAACACTTAACAAAAGGATTAGACAATTATGAGGCGAAACGAGTTTTGCGCTAGTCTACCAAAATGCAAGCCACCTACCACAATTATAGTTTATATGGAGTATATCAACACAATAGCTATATCACTACACTAAGTTAGTGTGCTCTCAAAGGCTAACTAAAGAGCCACACTAACCAAACTAACAAGCTCTCACAACTAGTTACACTAAAGAGCTTCACAACTAGTTTGCGGTAATGTAAAGAGTAGGCAAGAAGGTTATACCGTCATGTAGATGTATGAACCAATCAATCACAAGTGTGGATAACAATGAAGACCAATCACCTCAGAATCAATGATGAACACAATGATTTTTTACCGAGGTTCACTTGCTTGCCGGCAAGCTAGTCCTCGTTGTGGCGATTCACTCACTTGGAGGTTCACGCACTAATTGGCTTCACACGCCAAATCCTCAATAGGGTGCCGCACAATCAACACAAGATGAGGATCACACAAGCCACGAGCAATCCACTAAAGTACCTTTTGGCGCTCCGCCGGGGAAAGGTCAAGAACCCCTCACAATCACCACGATCAGAGCCGAAGACAATCACCACCCTCCTCTCAACGATCCTCGCTGCTCCAAGCCGTCTAGGTGGCGGCAACCACCAAGAGTAACAAGCGAATCCCGCAGCGAAACACGAACACCAAGTGCCTCTAGATGCAAACACTCAAGCAATGCACTTGGATTCTCTCCCAATCTCACAAAGATGTTTAATCTATGATGGAAATGAGTGGGAGGGTTTTGGCTAAGCTCACAAGGTTGCTATGTCAATGCAAATGGCCAAGAGAGAGAGCTTGAGCCGGCCATGGGGCTATAAATAGAGCCCCAGTGAAATAGAGCCGTTGTACCCCTTCACCGGGCTGAACACGGGCTGACCGGACGCTCCGGTCATATTGACCGGACACTGGACCTCAGCGTCTGGTTGAGCGATGAGCGCCACGAGTCATTGGCTTCAAACGTCGATCGCCCGATTTCAACGGCTACGTAGTTGACCGGACGCTCTGGTAAAACTGACCGGACGCTGAAGCCCCAGCGTCCGGTCGTTTCCAGTAAGCTCCTCGAGGCGTATTTCTTCGACCGGACGCGTCCGGTCCACCTTGACCGGACACAGATCAGCGTCCGGTGCAATACTCTCGGCACTGCGTAGACCCGTCAGTTTGACCGGACACACGCAACCAGGGTCTGGTGCTTTCAGACCCAGCGTCCGGTCAGAAGATCGACGCCAGCGTCTTCGCGATCAACTCGTTTTCACTTCTAACTTCTTCACCCTTGCTCCAATGTGCCAACACCACCAAGTGTGTCACCTTGTGCACAAGTGTTAGCATATTTTCACAAACATTTTCAAGGGGTTTAGCACTCCACTATATCATAAATGCATATTCGATACGAGTTTCCATCATTTCCATCATTTCGACACTTTGATCACACTCTTAAATGCATAGAGTATCTAGTGGCACTTTGATAACTGCATTTCGATATGAGTTTCACCCCTCTTAATAGTACGGCTATCAATCCTAAATGTGATCACACTCTCTAAGTGTCTTGATCACCAAAACAAAATAGCTCTTACAAATTATACCTTTGCCTTGAGCTTTTTGTTTTTCTCTTTCTTCTTTCCAAGTCGAAGCACTTGATCATCACCATGCCATCATCTTTATCATGCTATGATCTTCATTTGCTTCACCACTTGGAGTGTGCTACCTATCTCATGATTACTTGATAAACTAGGTTAGCACTTAGGGTTTCATCAATTCACCAAAACCAAATTAGAGCTTTCAACGGCGCCCGCTTCCGACTCTGGCCCGCCTCTCCAACCGGAAGGCCTCGAATCCGACTCTGACCCGCCTCTCCGATCAGAAGGCCTGACCGAAGAGGAACAGCGCTCGCTTCCGACTCCAGGCCGCCTCTCCGACCGGAAGGCCTGGCCAAAAGAGGAACGACGCTCGCTTCTGACTCCAGCCCGCCTCTCCGACCGGAAGGTCTGGCCAAAGAAGAACGTCGCTTGCTTCCGACTCCGACCCATGTCTCCGACCGAGGATGCACCGTACCTCTGTTTACAGCTCTTCTCCGACTGACGCAGTCGGAGCCGACTGGGGCCAACCAATCGGGGACGCCCGCTCGGTGAGGAGCAGGTAAACGGGCGGAGCAGGTAAAGCAGGACACTCAAGTCAAACTGCAATACCGAGGACCGTACCCTGTACACCTACGGGACAGTACCGACAGGGCATGTCAGAAAGGGTGCCCTACAACCTTCCAGACATGTCAGAACCCAAGCAGTGTTGTCGGCGCCGAAGTTTTACCCTACAGTGTTATGGGCGCCATCAATTCCCATATCAGGCGAACATGGTAGGACTCCCCACATCAACAGTGTTGTGGGCGCCGTCATTTACCATACACGGTGAACACGGTAAAACCATCCACATGCGTCTGACAACAACAATATTGTCGGCGCCTACTATCATCTTGTACCCGATGGCGTGGACAACAAGACTTAGTAGCATACATACTCTCTCTCTTGTAAGGTCGTTCCCTTTATCTATAAAAGAGGATGCGCTCTCTCCCAACAAAAGAGAACCATCAGTTCACTTACATCGATTCACCCTCTGCTAACTTTAGACACTCTAAAGCTACACAGAGCGCACGTTCGAACACTTAGCGTATAGCGGAGCTTCTGTCACTCTTGGCCTTTTAGACCAGAGTCCGACCAGACCTCTTGCACCTCCCATCTTACTCTCTTCCGTTTGTAACCCCACGGCAAACTTCGAGCACCTGGGCTCAGGAATAAAGTCACCGACCGACTCAAACTTGACGTAGGGCACGTTGCCTGAACTAGTATAAACCCTATGTCATTGAGTGCTAGGCCACATCTGATCACAACGTACGGTAAAACTACAAATATTTACGTGTTGGTCACTCTCTGCACCGACACCTTCTATCCGGTTATAATAGTCGTTTTAGCTTTCAACATGGTGTAGCATTGATTCTCTGAACCTAGACGTTGGTTGTGTCCGGATGCATAGACAAAACTGTGAATGTAGACAATTCAATGCACTGTGAGAAAGACATACATAGTGGGATAGAGGGAGTAGTTTCAACATTTGCTATAAAAACCGAGACCATGATTAATCTAATGATATTCACGCACCATATATATATATATATATATATATTAATATTTTGTGTCAAATATTTGTTGAAATTCAGAAACTTTGATTTCTACCGTTATTTTTGAGAGGGAGCGTATGTGCAGACACCAATCAGATGGCACTTGGGCGTGCCGCGTGCGTGTATCCGACGATGTCGATGTGGGAGTGGGACAGTGGGAGACTGGGAGTCCGTGACTCCGGTTCATCAAATGCTTTCACGCGGATCGCGGATATGTCAGAGCATATCCTAGAAATATGTACCTGAAATTTTGATGGAACGCAGATCTGCGGCGAATAGTATCTCTTTCAGTTTCACGGGGCATATGATGGGTGACAGGTTACCTGTCTTTTGTGGCGTGCAACAAGCTCGGAGATCGGTGCAGACAGACTTGAGACTCCCTAGTGCTGCGAGTGCGATTCGAAAAAGCAAAACAATTTAAGCCGCATAGAATACGCTAGCCTTACAAAATGTATGGCAGAAGCGTACAATATCACGCACGCTTGATTGCATCTAAATGTGAATGAATTTCGCATCGCTAAGAGCAAGTATTATGGCCGGCTGCAAGCCGGCTGAATCCCTGCTGGCAGAGAGAGAACAGGAGAGAGAGTGCGGAGCGGGCGTCTCGTAAAACGTCGGCTTGAAGTGGTTGGATACGCATGTGCTGTGTTTTTACTGGCTGCTCTGCTGCTGCGCAGGCATTGGGTGCAACGTGCTGCTAGCTGCTGCTGCTACATTTAATGGAAGCCAAGCTGGAGTTTATTTCGCCGGCAGCAGGCTGTATCATTGCACTTGCTCTAATTGTGGCTACAAATTGTAGTGCCCTGTTTAACAGGGAAGCACGCGCGCGAATTTTTGCTTGTCGCAATGGATTTCATCCATTAGTTTTATCTTTTGTCGGTAGGCAAGATACAACGAGCCATAGCCAATTCAGCAGCGACAGGCTCGATCCGGAGGGATACACCACACGCACACAAAATTAGTCAATAATACAGTTAATAAACGCTACTAATCTACGCCGTGCCTCGCCCGCACTTGCTGGAGCTCCTCTGGCGACGAACCCGATCCGGCAATAATCTCCTCAAATTCTCAACCAGAGACAGACGGCATCAGTTCTTGACGCCGAGCGGCATGATGGGCATGCCGGCGTCCTGCGCGGCAACGGGCATGGTGGACTCGAGCTTGCAGTCGAGCGGCGGCAGCAGCGCGGCCTCCTCCACGAGCGCCCTCCCGACGAGGCGCAGCAGCGTCTCCTCCATCTCGGCGCCGTCGGCCCACGGGTGCACCTCCGCCTGCAGCCGCGCGGGGTCCTCGCAGATGAGGTCCCACACGGGGTAACCCCTGCGCGGCATCATGAAGTCCTCCCGCGCCAGCCGCAGCGACGGGCAGTAGTCGCCGCGGCCGTCGCCCAGGTAGATGACGCGCTTCCTCCCGGTCCCGGCGGCCGACCCCGCCGACGCCTCGCGGAGGATGCGGTCCAGCACCTGGCCCTTGCACATATTGGGCGGGCAGGTGCCGACGCCGCAGCCGTGCGGGGCGGCGTGGTAGGGCCCGATGCGGAGGCGGCCGTCGGCGTCGACGTGGCTGGGGTTGGTGTTGATCTGGGAGAAGCAGCCCCGGAGGCCGTGGTGCTCCAGGATGGTCTCGATGAAGAAGGCGTTGGCGTCGCTGAGCACGCGCAGGTCGCAGCCCAGCGCGTAGGCGGCCTTGATGGCGGCGGGCACGCGCGGGTCGATGGGCGCCGCCCTCAGCACCTCGGCGACGTCGCCCAGGGTCCTGCCGCGCTGGTGCAGCTCACCCATCATGGTGTCCATGAGGGTGTTCCAGGGCATGGTGGGGAGGAGGCGCTCGAACAGCTCCGTGAAGCCGAGGTTGTCCACCACCCAGTTGTCGCTGTCCATGTCGATGATCGTCTTGTCGAAGTCGAACACCACCACGATCCCCGCCATGGGTATGGGTGGGTTTAGCTGGCTGGTTTTCCGGGGGCTGGCTGGCTGCGATGCTTTGTGTCGTCGTGGGTTGCCAAGCGCTTGTTTGCGGTGGATCGATGGCTGGGGAGCCGCGGTGGAGGCGGACTTATATAGCGGGCCGTCGGGGCCGGGCGCGGGTAGATGCCGGGGAATATTACGGTGATGCCTAAGAATAGCGAGCCGGTCTCGGGCGCGTCAAGTTTGGCGCGGGCGGTGGAGTAGATTCGGCGCGGCGGACCGATGCGATTCGCCAAACTCCCTTGAGAAACCATGCGTGGCGCCAGCTTCTGGTCTGGTTCGCGGTCGGGTGGGGCGGTGGCGGTGCGCCGTGCGTGGGATGCGGCTTCTCCGCTTCTGGTTTGGTATTGGAAAGGAAGGCGCTACTCGGTCGGCGGCGGCTTCTTGGGAAGGATCCGGAGATGCTGGGCTCCTGCATGGTGGCGAGGGAATATCCACTCCCGGTCCGTTTCGGGGAGCGGTGGTCGAATCGCTTTCGCATTTCCGTATCTGCGGACACCTCGTGGTTCACCCGAGCCAAGATTTACGTGCCAACGATTTTTCTTTTCTTTTCTGATTGGAATCGATCGAAAGAAACTTCTCTGTTCTGTGTTTACCGAAACTGGTCTACCCTTAACTTTTTTATAAAGGTAAAAATGCCCCATATCAGGCTGCGTGAACCAAGTGAAAATAACTGGACGGCTTCCTCTTTCTTTTTGATCCATACGTACATACATGCACGCACAAAACTTGAAGCTAGCTCATTTGGAGTTCAGTACAGCAGTCTCTGCTCCAGGGGAATGCTGTCGTGCTTATGGCACGAGATTGGGCAGTTTCGGCACAGGTCATGTACCACGATTTTTGTCACGTTTCCTGGGGGTGTCCCGTAGCGGATATTCGGCGGATGCGAAGAATCTCCCCCGAAGGTGGCTGGCTGCTGGCCGCTGGGCCGCCAAGGTCGGTCAGTTTGTGGTCCGGCCTGACTGTTTTGAACCATTAGAACGCGGTGTCCTCTGTTTTCGCCTCCCTTTTCTCCTTCCTCTTATCTTCAAATCATGCTTTATTTGTTCCTCCATCAATTTTTGCGTTCTATAAGTTCTCTTTCGGTCCAAATTCGACCATCTAGCAATTTGTTCTAAATCCCGGGAATCAGGAATATTCGCATTTTAGTGTTATATACATGCGTGGATCTCACATATGAGCGCACGTACTATCTCCATTTGTCCATGTTTGCATGCAAAAGCTTGATACATCGCGTCATGTGGAGGCTGGCTTAGGAAAGCTCATAGTTGTTTCATTATTCCACCCTTAGCACTAGCAGCTAAGATTCTCGAAACGACAGCATCAAGGAACTGGGACGTGAAACATAGAACATTATCTTTAAAACTATATATTTTCAAAAATATGGCACAATGGGATATCTTTACTCGTAATGTCCGTTCAAGAGATGGAACGTGTATCTAATATAATTGTAATGATATTCTTAGAACATGGAACATGTTTCATTTTGGTAATGCATGTTGTTCATCTTGAACAACTAGTAGAAACTTGTTTCACTATAGCCCATTAGATTTTCATCCGGTGTGCATACGACAGTTACACAAACAACGCATGTCATAGAATCGAATTTCATAGTGACAAAGTGAGGATGAGGAAAAATACGCTACCGCGAGTGTCCTAGAGCCCCGGGTTGTTTAGCCCCTTTTCGTGCCTTCAATGTGGATAAGAGTTCCCACTGCGTTTTGAATGATGTTACACATTATTTCCATTTGTCGTTTGGGAACGAAGTTCCCGAAACGTAGAATAAGACCATGTTCCATGTTCTAGGCGCTGCTAAGATTCTACCTTATCACACCAATGAAGAACAAATTCTCATCCAAAGTTAATATACTGGTTATATACCCCCCTCCTTTAGTTAATATGCACGGTGGAGAGCGCGCTGTCCCGGCCGGCCGCGACGGCGAGCGCGGCGGGGCGGACGGTGCCGAGCTTGGAGACAGACCGCGAGACCGTGGCGGAGAAGAGACCGACGGAGCTCAGGAGGAAGCGCACCACGTCCTCCACCGTGAGCCAGCACAGCTTGTCGTGGTCACCGGCGCGCTACCTCTCCCTGATCGCGGCCGGTGTGCCTGGAGCAGCCGCTCCGCCATGCGTGCGCGTGCATGCACCGGTGCACGAGGTCCGGCTGAAGCTTGCACGCTAGGCGAACAGCTTTGAGCGGAGAAGGAGAAAAGAACGGATGGAGCTTAACGGGATGACAGACGGCTCCGTGTAGGTATGTGGACCCAAAAGTCCATGAGGGCCCAGCTAGTGGAGGAAGGGCACCGGTGATCTCCACGTGTGCGGAGACACGAACCGAGACACCTAAGGCTAAAGGAGACAGGCAAGCTCCAGCCAGATCGACGGCCTCACATGTGCCAGAAGGGCCGCGATCTGATGATGTGTCCTCACCATCTCACCGACAGGTCCAAAGCCTCCAAGGTGCTAAACGGACACAGGGCAGGATTCATTCACGGTATCAGATCAGACGGCAAATTTCATTCGCATGCATGCATGAGGCGAAGCAGCTACCCCTTCAGTTTGTGTTTGCAAGCACTAGCAGACACATCTCGGTGATCAGATCAGATTAGATGCTCTTCATGTGGGCGAGGCCGCGCCGTGCGGGTCGGCTGAGAGTCTGAGACTTGGGAGCCCCATGTCCACTGAACTTCGCGCGATACCTGTCCATCGTCGTGGTAAGATTCGCGTCTCTTGTCACTAGTGCCAATCCGCTAGCTACCAGATTTCTCAGTCCTCACGGTCTTGTTACCAAATTACCTTAGGAGCTATTGAATAACTAGCGGCATCCGCTAGTTCCCTAACTAACCATCGATTTCCGACCACAAAACAAGGTGCCCTCATATTCTTCCTTCCCTTCCCTGCTTCCCCTGTGGCTAGCGGTACCTCCGCTGCCGTGTCGTCTGTCCACCATCCGTGCCCTGTCCTTCCTAACCACTCCGCTTATTCTTTTTACCCATCTCTTTCGTCGTCTCCTCATCCCTCTCCCGTCGAGGTTAGAAGAGTTATAGTCATTTATGAAAAAAAAAACATGTGACATTAGAATCAGATATACATATCACACCACATACTCAACTTTTACAACCACAATTGTAGCTTGAAACACTTTATTGGCATGTTGTATATGGAGCGGTACAGATGCACTTGTGGTACTGGTACGCATGTTTTATGCAAAAACATTTCATGTGCAAGTACAAATACCAATGAAATCTTCTACTGTTCAATTCACATACCATATAATAACAACTATAATTGATCTTTGCAACATTGTAATTGGGTACAACAATATATCCAATTAGAGCGTCTCCAAGAGTCTTTCTAAATCTCACTCTCTAAATCATCATTTGGAGAGTTATTTGCATAAAAATCGTTTTCTATATCTTTTGATATTCCAACAGTTTTTCTATATCTCGTGCACACTCTAGAGAGCCATTCTCGTGTTCTGTTTTTTGCTAGTGAAAAATCCGAAATAGAAGATGGTTATATTTAGATAACCATTTAGAAAAGCTGTTGGAGAGTAATTTTTCACCCGAATCTCTATCCTAACATTTAGGAAGAATATAGAGAGCTCTTGAAGTTGCTCTTATAACTCAATGCTTACTGGAATCTGTTTTCCTTTGCTCTTATAACATTTAGGCGCCGGCCGCTATGGTGGATGCTAGGACTGGGTGGTCGTCGGTGGGGTGGTTCCTTAGAGTGCTAGCTCTTCCTTGTTGTCTTCACTTGGCCACTCACTCTCCCCTCTAGCTAGCAAGATGTTGACAGTAATTAAATGCTCATTTCTGCCATCAACAAGAGTTAACTTTTGGGATGAAAATACACATCTTATACTTAAAAATGTTTTGAAAATGAAAATTCCATATTTTTTGGGAAGTACTGACGTGTAGGGACCCACCTGTAAAAAATGGACTGAATTCGGCCTAGTAGGGGGGCGCCTGACCCCCTAGGGCGTGGCTTGACGTCTACCTGAGGCTAATCCACCCCAACCATGGCCCGTATCAAGAAAACATGCTTAGAAACACACCTGAGCCTAGAAAAACATGCTAAGGAACACATGAATCCAAGGTGGTCCAAACTGGGCTCACAGGGGGGTCGGCCGACCCCCACCTGAGCCCAGTGGCTCTCAACTTTGGTCCACGGTGGAGAAAAACAACAAGGATCACATCCCACCATGGAAATCAAGTCGGTGGAAGATCAAAGACTCAGAGTAGCTATCACATGGATCCACGGGCCCACAAGGCAATCTACTATGACCAATTGCACCAATCCCTGGGCTACCCACGTCTACAATCGAGTGAAGACCCACCACCAAGCAAAAGATGGGCCAAAGGGGTCAGTAGGGGTGACCACACGAAAGCAGCTAATCGACTCCTCGGATCGATTACCTCTTTAGTATTAGCTCATCAGCTAATCGACCAAACTTTAATCGATCAATTCCAGGGCCTGCTTCCGGACGCGTGTGAAAACGCAAAATTACAGCACATAACACCTCACGTCCGCATCCGGATTTGAACGAAGCTGTAAATAAACCTTGATGAATAAAACTTTTAGATCCACTGCTTCTGTAATTGCTACCCCCTCATTGGGCCACGCGCGGTCTCCTCGAAATCCGAGACGGCCTTTCGTTATCCACGAGTCGAATCTATTTTTTATCGGCTTAAAAGATCCATTAGTCTCCCACTCCGGCTATAAATACACCCCTGAAGGATAGCCGAGGGATTACATCTATTCCTGCCTCTGCTTTTGTCACCGTGCGACTTCTTCCTCTTTAGATCTAAACCGTCACTCCTTTTTTCAAACTCATGGCCGATGGTAAGCATCCTGCCGGTGATATCTCGGAGGAAGAGCTCCCCATGCGCCAACGCCTCTATCGTCAGGGGTAAGCTAGATGTCGTCTACATCTTTGTTCTTTTCAATGGTCGTCT